AATAAATAAATAAAAAAGGAACCAATAAATCTATAAAATTTCTAAAAACGTGAAAATCTTTCTAAAGTTCATTACAATTAATATTAGCTTTTGACTTACTTGTCTCAAACTTCACCTAGAATATGTAATATTAAAAACCAAGAAATTTCAGCCGATTATAATATTAATATATGTACTTTGAATACTTAAAGTACAACAAGTTGAGGAAAGCTTATTAAAATTTCATTGCAGCTCCAACAGTCGTATTACAACTTTAATATATTAAATATATACATATTTAGGAAACCTTAATGAATTACATAATGGATCAATATTAAAAATTAAAAATTCAAAGTTCAAAAACACTCTTAAAGTTCATGAAAGCATATGCAATATGTATTTGTGTTAAAGCTCTTATAAATTTCTTTAATAATGCTACATAAAAGAAGCTGAAGGGGTTATATAACAGAATAATAGGCTTTACTTAGTTAATATACTTTTCGGAGCTAAAGCTTTCAATTTGCTACAAAGCTCATTAAAAGTAAATAAAAGCTCTTGAAATTGTTATGATTAAGAAGAAAGCTTAGTAAATTGCTCTTTGAAAAAACTTGAAGTTATTGTATTCGTATAGAACATATGCCTCTGATCCTGCGAAATATTCCAGATGAATATTTAAATGCTTAAAAGCTTTTGGCTTTTGGCCAGGTAGAGCATAGCTTTGGTTCTGGCTTTGGCAATAGAGAGCGCGGGTGGCTGCGCGGCTTCGGAAATTACGTTTATGAGCCTGTCTTGCATGCGCCTGGCACTGCCCACCTGGATGAATGGCGCATCCTGGCCCAATGCATTGTCGCGCTGACAGCTATAATTACTTTAATGATGATTTCAGCTCTGGGGCGGGCTGGCAAATGATGCGCTGGCCAGGGGGCAGGCGGGGGCCATTGACAGCTTGGCTTTTGTTTGTGCGCGTTTAAAATGCAATTATGTATGCATTTAATAATACTCATTGCATACTTTGGAGAACCAAAGTCTCATTTATCAGCAGCAGCGACGGCGGCGCTGGCAGCGACGACATCAGAAGCCGTTAGCTGCAGATTAATTAAATTGAAATGCTGGCAAATCGAATTTAAACGGCACACGCGGCGTATGCGTAACATTGCATTAAGACTCATACACAAATGCCGAGTCTTTAGCCATGCACATGCATAAACGAGGTAATATTATAGCCCAATTGAATACCAATTCAATGCTATGTCAATTCAATCAGTATGTATGCACAGTTATGCACATACATACATACAAATATCGGATTCATTTGTTCGGGCCATAGATGAGAAGGCCCCCGAGAGCTTAACGGCTGTCTATTAACGTTTAACGTGTATTGGCCATTAAATACAATCTGGTTTACTTATTCGGTTAACTTATTCGATAGCTCGAGTGTGGTTGATTGTTGACGTTAAGTGCGGGCAACTGGGGACTATCGATAGTTCTTGAAGCAAACCTTAATATATGGAAATACGAAAAATAAATGCCTCGTAAACTGTTATAGACTAAAATGATCAAGCAATTATGGAAGTATGTTCATGACACTACGATAAAACAGCATAGAAATTTATCGATAGTCCTAGGTATTTTTAAGAAATATAACTATCTGCAAATGTGCATATTTCGATTATCTGTTCCGATTAAAATAACTGAATTGTTAGTCCACATATCTCACACATCTGGCAGATTTCAGTGCTCACGAATATCTCAGCCAATCATATACATATAAATTTTGTTTCTTGTTAATTTACTGGAGAATATCGATAGCATTCAATTTATATATCGAAGATAATAATATTATTCGAGAAGCGCCTCTTATCGATAGCTATATATATCGGCATATGCATAGTGGTGGATTGAATATACATATATATA